GTAGAATATTGTTTGTTTGTCCATCTGTAGTTTTCTACGTGGGAAAACTAGACTATTGTCAAAAGTACAAATGTTGGTTGGTGCTTTGAAAACTATTCTCTGAGCTCTGCCCACTGAATTCTTCCCACTAAATACTGCAAATTTGTGTACCACTGTGTGTGTGTGATGATGGATTTTTAAGCAGTAACTAAGTTTGTCTTAGTTGAGTCATCAGTGAAGTATTCCTCTGCATCTTGCAGAATCTCTGTGAATTAAGAGTTTCATTGAGCCACCAGATTTTCTTCTGATCAGGGAGAGGTAGATTATATTTCTCCCAGTATAGTAATTGTTACCTGTTCATTGAATCCCGATTTGATGCTAATTCCAAGCCACTCAATCCTTGAATTGGACTGAGGCATATAAATTCTCCAATCCCCAGAGCCCAGCACAGGATTGTGTCTTTTTTTAATTTAAAATTATGTCCAAGTTTATTTTTCTTTTAATTCTCATTGTTAACACAACTTATTTTGGCTTTGAACACCCATTGACTAATTTATAGTGACTGAACCGCTGATGTTTTCCTGTTCAACTACAAATAGCAATAACCTTACTTTCGTTGGACTACCTGGAATACAGTAAGCATAGTCATCATTTTGAAAGCAGTCCTCAGCCCTAATTATGCAGAACTTTTACAGTTCTTTGCCAGCACTTGAGTGAGGATGTTTCTTGTGGATCTCAGGGATTATTCTCACATCCCCTAATGCAACCATTAGAAAACACCATATTGTTATCCAAAATCAAGTCTTTGTCATTATTGCATTCCAATGCAAAACAGTTAAGAAATGTAGGAGTTCTGAGATTTTACCATGCTGAGATTTTTAGCATCCTAGCATGTTCCTTTCTTACTGATGCTGTTGGTGAGATGAGACCTTTGGTCAGAGACAGTGAACTTTATCACTCACAGCAAAAGCAGCCATGGTTAATTTTGTATACTTTCCCTAATCTCAGATGAATACACAGAGTGAAATTTTGATGCCTACAGAATCAGTGGGCTGTTATCATGAAGAAATTTTAAGTCATGGTAAAACACTGTATTAGTATCTTTATGTATAATTTATTAGAATCATGTATTTATTAGTTTCTTTAGGATAAGTCTATCATAACTCAAGATTACTTGCTGCAAAAACAATCATGAGAAATGACATGGGAAACAATGATCATTGTCTTTCCATTTTTCCTTCTGCTTTTATTGAGATATAATTGACATAACACATTGTGTAATTTTAGGTGCACAGGGTAGATATTTGATTTACATGTATCAAGATGTAAATATTATTGCAACTTTAGGGAGATTTCATTATCTCATTTAGAAACAATATTAAAGAAATACAATTTGGCTTTTGGTTGTGATGAGAAAAATTAAGGTCTACCCTCTTAACAACATTCATATATAACATAAAGCAGTATTAATTGTATTTATCATGTTAATATGTAGCATCACTTGAACACGTTTATTTAACGGCTGGAGATTTGTATCTTTCGAATGTATTAATCTAATTCTCCTTTCCCAACCCCTGCCTCTGTTAACAACAAATCTGTTTTTTTCTATGTTTGTTTGTTTTTGAAGTGTACTTTATTGTATAACACTGTGTTAGTTTCTCTTACATAACATAATGTTTGCAAATTTTAATACACATCAAACTAATCACAAGAATAAATCTTGTTATGATATGTTGCTATTTAAAGATATTTCATAATTATTCACTATTCCCCATACAGTACATTTCTTGTCCCTGCCTCATTTAATTTGCAAACTGGAAAATATTCTCTGTTAATTTTCCTGAACTCTTTCTTTTTCTTCACCACATTTCCCTCCTTCTTCTGAAAAACCTGTTTCTTTCTATATCTATAACTACTTTTCTGTTTTCTTATGTTAATTTGTTTTAAATTCCAAATATGAGTAAAATCATTTAGCATATGTCATTAACTGTCTGATTTATTTCACTTAGAATTTTACCCTCTTAGTCTACCCATTTCTTGCAAAAGACAAGAACTTATACTTTTTAGAGCTAAGTAATAACCCATTGAAATTTTATGTGTGTGTGCATATATATTTATAGTGTACATATATATATTTAGTGTTTGTGCATATATATACATATATAGAAAAATTTTTAGTTAATAGTTGATTAGATATATATACTATAAATAGACATTTTCTTTAGCCATAATTTATTGATGAGCAATTAATTTGCTTCTATATCCTGGGTATTG